GGCAGGGACCCTTCCACCCCATACCCCTTCTCCACCCCTCTCCATACCACACCTTATCCAGTTAGATCCATACATACCAATCATCAGAAGAACAAGTTTAGAGGGCCTGGAGCTTGTGCCTAACTAGGTAAGTTATCAGTTGAGTCTACAGGTATTGCTGAGCCCTGTGGTCTGGATTGGAGTATTCCAGGGAAAGAACACAGAGAATAGAATTCAAACTGTCCCTTAAGCAAAATCAGCTGGTTTTGAGTGTCTCGAGTGAGTACAAGGCATTGAAACTGAACAAGATACCTTTCAGAAATGAATTGTTCTAATCCCTTCCCCCAGGTAATCTTTCATGAGTAGAACCAGGTTCACATGGTGCTTCAGAGCCCTGAGCAGAACTTCTTTGGAACCCAAGCACCAGGGGCCACCTGCCCAGGAGTCCCCTTACCTCACTCCTTTAGGAAGGGGAGTGATTCTTCAGGACATGAGAGGCTCTTCTTAAGTATATGCACCTGAGAGCTAGTTGAAGGACCCAGGGGAGAGGGCTGTATTTTCTTCATGGATAGGCCCTGAACAAAGCCACAAACTGTGGAAATCAGTCCTCCTCACCTATGGCCACTGCCTTCTGGCAGTCCTCCCCCTTGCAGAAAGAATCTAGCCTTTGTCCTCACTCCTTTTTATCTAGGTCAGCTGCTGTTCCCTTCATAGATGTTCAGCCCTACAGAAGGAATCTGGGCTGTGATCCCTCTGCACAGGGTGGATGGAGGGTGATCCTCAACACTCCTTGGGAGGTCAGAGACAAACTCTTTGCAGGGAGTCATGTGGACTTCCCAGGCCCTTGCTCAGATGTGACATGGCCCTTCAGTATCCTCAGTAGCAGCCTCCTGGACTTCCAGAGGACTCTGCATTGTCCATTGGCCATTATGTGAAACAAGAAACTAAGCATTTTGCTGTTTTTAATTGTCGTATGTGCCATTGTAATAGTAGATTATTGGCTAGTCTGTAATAAATTATCTTATAGTAGCCTTTGAGGTCTGGTAATTCTGCTAAAGTGTGGAAAGCTGTAGAAATGACTTTCCTACATAATGGTAGATCTTAGACCAGTGGTCCTTTGCTGCTTTTCCCCTCCCGCCCCAAGTGGTGGATGAAACAGCTGGGGGGAGGAGAACAGATTTCTGAGAAGGGGCGTGGTCGGAAGCGAACTTTGTGGGGGCGTGGTCGGGGCGTGGCTCTACTCTGGGCTGGACCGTGTGGCTCCCGCGCGCCTGCGCAGAGAGGTGCGTTAAGATGGCGGTCGCTGTAGAAGACGGCTGCTCGGCGATGGTGAGCAAGAGGTGCCCAAAGGTGGCGCCCGAGGAGAGGTTATCGCCTTTTCCCTCCCCACACTGTAGCGAGCCTGTAGCCCTTTACTATCTCGCGTTCCTAGCGCTGTTTGTACTTCCCTATAGCTGTCTGTCCTCGTACTTTCTTGTAAACTGTTCTCCCGACATTCCCCATCCCCGTACTCGAGTATACGTGTTTCCCAGACGCTCCAGAGAAGAAATACCTGCCTCGACACCTAGCAAAGGGATCTTTATCCCGCAGACTCCCCCAGAGGGCAGCCATTTATCCAGTTACCTCATAAAGCAAGTAGGCTCAAAAACCCCAGCTAAGGCACATTCCTATTCACTCAGGGAGTTTTGTTCACTTTTCCAGCACTATCCAGATTCTTACACATCCTTCTACTACATTTGACTTGAAAGTCAAAGTACTATCATGTTTTCTATCATTCCTCTTTCATGTGGAGTAGGAAACCTACTCCTTAAGGAAAAGTCAAACTGACTGCTCACGGCTTGCAGATTTGAATTATTAGCTAACTTTTAATGCAGATTTTACATTTTAACAGTGCATATTTCCAGCTTTTGAAAAACCAGGTCTGTTAGCTCAGCTCACATTCCCACAAAATGACAGGTCGTTGGAGCTGAGAAGCAACTAGCAAATTAGTTTGCTGTAATTCCTGGTAGACTCCATAACTTCTTATTTTGTCATACTGGGCTTTACATTATTTTCCTGGTACCTGGTAGGCACTTGAGTTTGTGATTCCTGATATAAGGCTGGGTAATTTTCTGTGTCAGTACTTTGAGCTTTTAATAAAAATTGAAATCCAAAAAGGTTGAATATATATTTAGGCTATTTTTGGTTTCTGTAATTCTCTGATTAGTATCAGAGATCGTCTTAGTAGCTAAAATTCGGGGTTAAATTTGCACCAAAGTGTTTGTTATAAGAGAATTCAATCAAAATATCTGCAGGTAACTTCCTGGTACATTTGGTCTTTTTTATTTAACTGTATTTTTATTTTGGGGGGGTGGTAATTAGGCTTATTTATTTTATTATTTTAATGGCAGCACTGGGAATTGAACCTGGGTACACACTCTGCAGCTGAGCTATACCGTACTCCTGCATTTGATCTTGAAGAAATCATGTGCCAACTCCTCTCTGGTGGGGTCAGGCCAAGGGCAAGGTGTTTTTTCGTTTTGAACACCTGGCTCTGGTCTGTACTGGAAGTGATGTCTCAAAGTGCTGTCTCCTCATTCCAGAACACACAATGGTAACCCTCCTCTCTGTGGGAAATAACAGGCCTTGTAATATTATACGGGCTGTATGTAAACAGCAGTAGAAGTGCCTTTAATAGTGGATTTTTTAAAAAGCATAATCATTTCTATCAGCATAAGTGTATGACTCATCTGTTTATTGTGAATATTTGGACTAGCTCCCTGAATGAAACTCCCATATCTTGAAGCAGAATGGCTAAGCTGAAGTAGCAATGTGAAATAATGGAGATGGTATTAAAGTGGGAGTCAGAAGACCTGTGAACAGTAGTCCAGCTCTCCTACAAACTAGTCAAGGAATCTTGACTTTTAACTTTTCAGAGGTGGTTTCTTGCTTCTGTTAAATGGGCTATTCCTGCCATGTTTCCCTCAGAGGGATCACATAGACTTATTTAAATGTGAAAACACTTTGAAAACTCTATTTTCTCTAAGTTTATAAGGAATTATTATGATAAATGATTCTCTGAATTCTGGTAACTTCCAAGGAATTTGTCTTGCTGTGTCCCGGGTTCAAAATCAGTAAATATTTGCTGAACACATAATATGTGCCAGGTACTCATCTAGGCGTGGAGCCTAGCATTGAACAAAACAAAATCCCTGTGTGAATTTAGGGTAAGTCATCAGCATCTTGAGTGCCTACTGAGTACCCAGTGCAGTATCACAGCATGGTGAAGTAGTAGTGAGAATCTAGATGATGAAGTTAAGTCTGCCACTATTACAGCTGTGAGAGAGCCCTCTGGTCTCCAGCTCCTACCTTCCTTTGGCAAAACCCAAACCTGGAAACCCAGAGCAAGGTAGTCTGGGTAATGTAGTTCATAGAGGTTGCTTCCCAGAATAGGGCAGAGGGAATTGGGCAGAAGAAACAGCAAACAGAATAACCAGCATTCAAGGTATCTAGAGAAGGAAAAGTCAGCACCATGGACTCTTTCCAAGAAAGTTTCCCTCTGTTCAAATTCAGAATCTAGTCTAAGACAGTCTCCTTAGCTGTGAAATGGTAATAGTAATACTTTTGTCCTAGAGTGATTGTGAGGATTCTATGATATGACACATGAAAGTACCTAGCACAGGGCCTGATCCATATTGGAGACTCAGTATATTTTAGTTCCTTCCTGCACATGTCTAAACAGCTCTTTGGCAGAAATACTTTTTCCAGTCAAGTTTCAAAGTGTGGCTAGAATTGTTGGGGGCTGTGTAGCTTAAATGGTAGAGTGCATGTTTAGCATGCACAAGGTCCTGGGTTCAATCCCCAATACGCTCTCTACACTTACAGAAATAGCAAACCTAGGTAAAACTAGTCCCCAGTAGCAAAACAGATAGCTAGTTGCCTCGGGCTGGGTATAGAGGTGCGAATTTGACTGGAAAAGGAGGGAACTCATTGGCATGATAGAAATGCTCTTGATTTCTCTGAAGATTGTGGTTGGTGGTTACATAGGAGTGCACATTGTTTAAAATGGGTCAAAATTTTAAATGTATGAATGCCTTTTCCTGTATGTAAAGTATACCTCTATAAAATTGATTTTAAAGTGTATACCCTTAACCCATAGCAAAAATAATTACGTGTTTCAAAAGTGGAGTAATTTCAAACATAATGAATTTTTTACTGAGAAACTGAGTAATTGACAGGTCAGCAAAGCTGACTGCTGTGATTTTAAAAGACCCATACTTAGAGGTGTTCCTGTTTATGGAGAAGCTCTTACTAGATTAAAGGTAACATCAGTGATGAAGTTGTTTCCTTGATGTGTGTACTTTATATCAAGCACTGAAGTCTGAGGTGTAGAGGCTGTTCCTTTACTATAAATGGATGCATGGGTATTAGCAAATGTGGGCTTCAGATAAGTAAGAGGTAGTATGTTCCATATTTGAACCTACTTCAATTAAATATCAGTTGTTTAAAAAAAAGAAATAATTAAATCTAATTACCTCCCCCCAATTAATAAAAACAAAATGTGGCTGGGACTGAGTGAATGAAGGGAGAAATGGTAGGAGATGAAGTCAGAGCATGTAGGGAAGGCCCTGTGGCCCAGTGTAATGACTGGCTTTTAACAGAAGTAAGGTAGGAAGTTGTTGGAAATTCTGCAGGAGTGTGTGACTTCTGATATAAGGGTTCCTGTTATTCACTAGGGTATCATTGTACATTAAAAAATAATTTATTTAGAACATACCACATAATGGGTACTATTTTAGGCACTGGAGATGCATTGATATATATATAGTCCCTACCCTCAAGGATAATGTGGTCTTTAAAAGGTGATAGATGGCTTCAATTTAAAGTATAAATGTTAAGATACAGATAAACATGGAAACTTACAGCATGGGAGCTCATAATAAGAACATAATCCTTGGAGCATCTGAAAAATCTTCCTGAGTAAGATGATATAAATTGAATCTTACCCAGTAGAACTTAGCCAGGTCTAAACAGAGGGAAATGAAGTTCTAGGAACTTGGAATAGTATGTGCACTTGGAGTGGAAAAAAAATTGATAATGAGCTGGGAATTACAAGTAACTTATATCCCTGGACAGTTTGGGCTTTGTATAGGAGAATGGTGAGAGATAAAACTGCAGAAGTAAGCAGAGGCCAGGTCATGAGGAGGAATTTAGACTTTTATCCCGAAGGCTATGGTAGATTTTTGGGTTTTTTCTTCAATGGTAGGTTTTTAAGCAAAAAGATAGCTCACTCTGGCAAGATAAGGATGAGTCAGTTGAAGTGGAGTTGGGTTGGAGGGTGAGAAATTACAAAACTGGAGATGAGGAGGCTAATGACGGTAGCCTGAACTTAGGTTGAAGCTTTGGGGATAAAAGTATATGACTATTCTAAGTTAACGCTTTATTAATGAGGAAGAACATACAGAGCTTCCTGATTAAATTATAAGTGGGAGAATAAAAGCCTTGTTAAAAATGACTCTCAGGTTCCTGGCTTGGG